CACCGAGGAGCCCCGAGCTGCAGGGACCCCCGTGAGCCCCACGCCGCGTCCCACCATCCCCGCCCCGAGGCCAGATGAGACCCCAGGCACACGCAGGGCCGGGCCGAGCTGTTGCCGGGAAGGAGCCTGCGACGGGGAAGGGGGTTCTGGGGGACGCCAAGGCGGAAACACCCCCCTCCGACCCCCCCCCCGGCCCGCAGGTCACCTGCTCCTGGCCCGCAGCAGCACCCGCAGCAGAGCGCGAAGCCCATCGCGCGTCCCGGCCCCGGCGCCCCCCGCCCCGCTCGGCGTCCGGCCGCGTCTGGTGGGAGCGCGGCGGGATCCGTGCCCGGAGCGCGGCCTGAGCTGCGGCCAGTGACTCACACAGCCCACGGCCTCCGCCAGCCCGGCTCCTCCTGTTCCCGGGCAGCGCGGAGCCCACCCACGGCCGCTGCGCCGGGAACCCCCGAGCCAGCGCGGCCGCGGGCAGAGCGCAGCAGGGACAAAGCCGGAGGGGCTCGGACCACCTGGCACGGGCACAGGCATGGCACGGGCATGGCACGGCACAGGCATGCCATGGCACAGGAACCCTGGTCAGGGAGACACCCGAGTGGTTCAGAGTCGGTTGCGACCCCTGTTATCACCCGGAGTGCTGGGGGGGGGTCTCCTGGAGCTGGGCACCTCCCTGCCAGAGGGAGCACAGAGGTCTTGGGAGGATCTCGGGGGGTCTCGGGGGGTCTTATGTCAAAACCCAGCAGGGCAAAAGGCAGCCAGGATGAGCCAGGCCGGCAGCAAGGCCGAGGTGTGGGGGCTGGGCATGGCAGAGCGGGGCATGGCACGGTGCCGACCCACGGCTCAGCCCCACGGCAGCGGCCGCGTCCCATCTGTGCCGCGGAGATAAGGAGCCGGGGGCAGCGGGGGGGGGGGTGGGAACCGAGCCGGAGCGATAGCGCCCGGCGAGCGGGGAAACACCGCCTGGAACGGGACACGTGTCCCGCGGGATGTGCGTGCCACGCCCGCCACGCTTCCCGCACACTGCCGCGGCTCCGACACGCTTCCCACGGCTCCAGCGTGCTTCCCATGGCTCCGACACGCTTCCCACGGCTCCACCATGGAGGACGTGGGACAGTGGCGGGAAGAGCCTCCCCACGGATGCCAGGGGCGGTGCCGGGGGGGCCGTGCCGGGGGAACCGTGCCGGGGATGCCCGTGGTTGCCAGCCACGGCCCCTCGAGGCCGGTGAGTCACGGCTGCGGCCAGCAGCAGCATCCGATCCTCCCGGCCTGGCACAGCCAGAGCCGCCAGCGCGGTGGAAAAGCTGAGTGGAGCGGAAAGGGGGGGGGGGACGGGGGGGTTCCCAAACCTCTGGGGCCCACTGCCGCCACGTCTCTGGCAGCCTTGGAAACCGGAGCGGGGCCAAACAAACAGCGGCATCCTGCTGCCAAAACCAGCCGGCGCCGCCACCAGCCCGCCGAGCTCTGCCACGGCTCCCCCGCCCCCCCCCCCAAGCCTTTTGCCCCCCAGCCCCCCCAGGCACGGGGATAGAGACACAGACAGGAGCCCTGGCTGGGCCGTGGTGCCCCTTGAAAACACCTGCCCTGACGCTGTGCCGAAACTGCCACCGAGAGCGGCTGGCACAGCCCCTCATCGCAAGGGGCAGCCACCCGCGGGTAACGGGCAGCCCCCCGCGGGTACTGGGCAGTCCCCCCGCAGGCATCAGGCGACCTCTCGTGAGCACCGATCAGCCTCCCGCGGGCACCGGGCAGCCCCTTGTTGGCACCCGGTGGTCCCCACCCCGACCCCTCCGTGGGTTCCGGGAGCAGCGCTCAGAAACAACCCCCCTGCCCCGGCGAGGCACGGAGACCACCGGTGGGAACCCCACCCCGAGCGATCGCAGAGGTGCAGACCCCGGCACCGCCGAGAGCGGCCGGTGCTGCCGGAGAGCCTCCTGGCATCCCCCCGGCTCGGGAGGGTCGCGGCGCGGCGGGATGATGGGCCCCGGCAGGTGCGACCTTGGGGGTGCCCTTCGGACTGGGCCGGCGCCAGGGACAGCGGCCCCCCCCGGGGCAGGGAGCAGCCAGGGCTCCGGCCCGGCCAAGGTGCCCTGCCCGCCTTATCTGGCACCGGCACCGGCAGCGGCCGCGGCCTCCGCGGCTCCCACCGGCCGCGGGCCCGGCGGTGGTTTCGCAGCGCGGCGGCCGCGGGAGCGGGAGCGGGGCCGTCCCGGCACGGCGGCGGCCTCGTGACGGTGCCCAGTGCCGCACACAGATCGACGAAAACCGCAGCCAACGCCCTGGAAAGTGCCGGGAGGGGGGGGCCGCGGCCGCCGGCAGCGCCCCGGCAGCAGGGAGGGATGCGGGTGGCTGAGCCCGAGCCGGCGGAGGGAGCGGGGGGGTCTCACGGAACCCCCCCAGACACCAGCACCCACTCGGCCCTTCCCGGCCCCCCCCTGTCATCAGATCCCTGTCCCCGAAAAAATTTGGCG